GGCCAATAAGGTGATCTCATATCTGATTTTGTTTTTTAAATGTTTTATTTATGCTTAACAAAAGAACACAAATTACAATACAAACAAGAGGACATATAACAATTCAAGACAAAAATATAGTCAGGGGTACATATTACTACATAAATTCAAGTTATGAATAAAGATTAAACAAATTAAATAAAAATTACGTCCGCACTGCTTTCAGATTTTTACACTTCGAAATAGTCTTATCTCATATCTGATTGATGGTTAATTTTTAATGACCTCTCTCGCCGCTCTCTCCTGCCCGTCTATCCGCCCTCCCCTCCGCCAGGGGGCGCTGTGGCGGAGGCTCGGAGCCCCGGCGCTCTGTGTTCCTCTCGGAGTTTCTCTGGTCTTTCCTGCCGGCCGGGCCATGTGCGTCCGCGCTGAGGCTCTCGCTCAGCCCGGCACGCGAGTCGCCCCCCGACGCTTGAATCCCAACCGCCGCCGCTCGGGCAGCCTCAGTCTCTCTCGGCCAGGCGGAGAGAGCGGTCAGACAGGGAGTCCCGCCGCACTTGGCCCGCAGCCGTCCACCCGTCTTACCGTACAGCCGCCGAGCGGGCTTACTGCCGTGACTTCGGGATACTTTTATTTCATTTACCGTTGAGAAACCACCGCCTCCGGCAATGACCGAAGAGCTTGAACACATCCTCTCCCAGCTCACCGAGCCGGACAACGCCGTCATCCGACAGGTACAGCGCCGGCCCCCGCCCGGTTGTTCCTCCACACAACTTAAATTTAAGCTTTTTTAAAAAAAAGTCCTCGGTGTGGAGGGCTGATATGTGTTTCTTTTAGTTATTTGTTAACTCGAATGGCCAGTGAATGTGTGAAAGTTCGAGAAGTTTGAAATCTAAGGTGCCTGTAACCACCGACTGAAATGGAAAATCCTGTAGTTTAATACTTCATACGTGACGTGAAGAGTCGGTGTTGTACCGCAGAAAGTGGTTTCACACGGGCTCTGTAAAGACGGTTTTCATTTCTTTGAATATTTAGGCCGCGGAACAGAGTTATCCGTCCAGTGATCTGAGTCATTCGTCTGGTCGCTGTCTGACCAGTGGTCTGCCCGTCTCTGTCACTGTGTGTCACTGTCTGACCAGTGGTTTGCCTATCCTGTCACTGTCATTGTGTGTCACTGTCTGACCAGGTATCTGTCTGTCCTGTCACTGTCTGACCAGGTATCTGTCTGTGTCTGACCAGTGATCTGTCTGTCACTGTGTGTCACTATCTGACCAGTGATCTCTGTCACTGTCACTGTCTGTCCTGTCACTGTCACTGACTGACCAGTGGTCTGCCTGAGTCTTTTTAGACTCTCTGAAGGGAGTATCCCACACTGACAGGCTGGAGGAACTGAGTCTCTTTAGTCTGAAGGGAGTGTCCCACACTACAGGCTGGAGGAACTGAGTCTCTTTAGTCTGAAGGGAGTGTCCCACACTGACATGTTAAAGGAACTGAGTCTCTTTAGTCTGAAGGGAGTATCCCACACTGACAAGGCTGGAGGAACTGAGTCTCTTTAGTCTGAAGGGAGTGTCCCACACTGACAAGGCTGGAGGAACTGAGTCTCTTTAGTCTGAAGTGTGGAGAGTGGAAGCAGCTGCCCTGTGAAGTTGTTGAAGCCGATACCCAGGTTTCTTTCAAGAGATGGGTCCTCTTGTTTGTGAACTGTGTTATGTTCACAGACACAGCTGATCCAGACCATGAGGAAAAGTACCCAGTCAGAGCCAGGTGTGGGGAGTCCTGACTGACTTTATACCCCCAGTTTACAAGCCATAGCAATGATATAATTATCTACAGAACGTCTCCCTATCTCTTCACGTTCCTTCTTTCACGGGCAATATTTCTAAT